TCCAGGAATCACAAGTTGATGTAACTCCCATTCTCCTGAAACTTCGTTCCTAACATAAATCTGAAACTCTCCTTTCTCTGATTTATTATTCACCAAGGCAACTTTCCCGTTATAGTTCACCATTGTGGAATCAGAACGAACCCTGACTCCCTCAGGCAATTGATAATAATCAGAAGTTTCAGAATTCACGTTGAAGCACATGACTATAAATTTTTGAAGACGTAAAGGAAGGGCTGCGTAGTATAAAACTCCTCCTTTACACAGTGCACAAGAGAAGATTGCAACATGACGAGTCTCACATGCTATCTCTCTCCAAGATCCTACACCACCCAAGCTTACCGTGTAAACTAGAGCTTTAGTAGTATAAAGCCTTGGCCATAACACTTTGAGTGAACTAGTAGCTTCATCGTATCCCAAAAAAAACCTTCGGGATCGTGTAAACCCTTCGATATCTGGTAGACGCAGAACATTGCTGGTAATGGCACTGCATAGCAAAAAACTAGTTGATCCTTGAAGGCAGACCACGCCTCGAACGGGTGCAGACCTCATCCATTTTCCTTGAGGATTCTCCTTTTGACAAGCAGTGTCAAAAAACGAATCTGGAGTTGGATTCATGGGTCTTGTCATGGAGCGTAGCAAGTAACGCGTTTTAAAGTATTCATCACAGATCATAGTCTTCAGTATCCTCCAGACGCGACTGCATGCAAGCAGCGATTTAAGAGGCAGACGTAGCAGAATATCGTATTGGATATCTTCAGGAAGGGACTCCATTTTTCTTTTCTTGTTTTTTTTTTCTTTGGGTTTTTCCTGGTAATATTTTTGTATCTGTTCAGAACACAACACCCAAATGTAAATTTATAGAAAATATCAACCAATAAGCTGCGAGTATGGTCACATAATAAGTTTAGCTTCTGGAGTCTTCTAACGCGTTCGTCTTTACGAGTAATATTTACATCATCTAATTAATTAAAAGCTATAAAAGAGAAGATAAAATTGTCGTTCACACAATCACACGCAGTTAGCTTAATTTTACAAGTTTTATTTCCTCGTACATGTTTACTACTTCGATATGCAGAAAGAGTATACTAAATTTGCTAGCGAATGAATTTCTATCGCGTTCATCTGTTTTATAGTAATCCTTTTAGTCATATAAAGTGGTAGAGAGTCACTTTCACATGTAGAAAACACTTATTAAAATTGTTAGTCACTTTCACATGTAAAAAACTTTTGTAAAGGTTTTCACTTTCACATATAGAAAAAAATCATATTAAAATTGTTAGCCAATGAACTAAGAGTAATCAAGAAAGTTGAAAATTGATAACTCTTAGTTTGGTCCATAAGCACATAAATTAAGGTTATAAACTGTTAGAACAAGATTATTCATTAGCATAACAAATTAGATGAACGACAATATAAATGAAAACAAACCCTTAAGACTACTTTATACTATTATTTGAGAGATTGAATAACAAACAGTCCAACCAAAAGCTGGATTCTAGAGAAGATCATCCTTGAAACCTAGAGCAAGGGTGATAGAGAGGTTCTTAAATCTTTAGATATATCTCTGAGTAACTTTTGGGACAAATGACGTCCCTACATGAATGAAAGATCTTTTTCATTTTAGCTAAATCTTAATGCATAAATAATTAACATTAACATAATAATATAGTATTTTTTTGTTAGAGAAGTCTTTTTTATGGGTTCCTATCGATGGAAGTGATCTAATACCATGAAGGATTTTCTTTCATCAAACATGTGCATTGCGTACTTAACTTATGCACACGTACGTGTCATGCATGTAACGCAAAGACTCACACGACGAAAAGGTTCCATACATTTGTGTATGGAACTGTGGACGTTGCACAAAATATTATATTGCCACGGAAACGCATTCAGTGTAGAACTCTCTCTCAGACGTAGAAATCGGTAATGGTTTGTGTTCATGTTATTCTGTCATCTAATTAACTGCTAACTTGTCTTGGTTGTATACTAGTCATTACTCATTTTTCGATTATTAGTCATTGGTCAATATACATGGACTAGTTCATCGTTACGCATTGCTTCGTCTTTGAGGCCAACAAGATTTTATATAAAGAACTTTGAAGCAAAGGCCTTAGTAGATTTATATGTTCCATTATAACAATTAACAAAACATGTTTAAGTAGCCATGCGCTAAAAGAATAGATGAAACTTTTGTAAAGGTTTTCGTACTTTCACATATAGAAAAAAAAACTTACTAAAATTGTTAGCCAATGAACAAAGAGTAATCAAGAAAGCTGAAAATTGATAACTCTGAGTTCTGTCCATTATACCAGAATTTGATAGATCCATGAGTCCATAAAAAAAAGGTGTCTGAAACTGATAGAACAAGATTATTCATTAACATAACAAATTAGATCAACGACAACAGAAATGAAAACAAACCCATAAGACTACTCTACTACTTTATACGATTATTTGAGAGACTGAATAACAAACAGTCCAAATAAAACTACCATATTTAATTTCTTATTATTTTGAGAAACTTAGAGATAGATCAAACGATACTGGTTGTGCCTCCTTAATTAGTACGGAAAAGAGAATCGAAATGATCCAAGCAGGCTCGAACACAGTGATACGAACCTCCATTCACTGCTCCCACGCTAAACATTTTGAAGTTATTTCCTTCTTCTGGTTGGTCTGTATTGTAATGCAAGACAGATTCTGATCCATCATGCAACGAGTCTGGTCCTGTGAAAACAAGTTCTCCTGTTCCAATGGTACCTTGGAAAGAAAACATCACATCGTTCCCAACATTGTCTCCCCATCCAGGAATTACAAGTTGATGTAACTCCCATTCTCCTGAAACTTCGTTCCTAACACAAATCTCAAACTCTCCTATCTTTGATTTCTTATTCACCAAGGCAACTTTCCCGTTATAGTTGTTCACCATTGTAGCATCATTATGAAGGCTGACTCCCTCAGGCAATGGTCGATATTTAAACGTTTCAGAATTCACGTTGAAGCACATGACTATAGGTTTACGACCATAAAGGGATATAGCTGCATAGTATAAAACTTCTCCTTCACACACTGCACAAGAGAAGAGTACAGTATGAGGAAGCTTACATGCGATCTGTCTCCAAGATCCTTGACCTCCCGAAATTACAGTGTAGACTAGAGGTTTATCATAACGCGTTGGCCATAACACCTTGAATACACGAGTTGCTTCATCGTATCCCAGAAAACACCTTCGCGAAAATAGTCCAAGCCCTTCGATATCTGGTAGACGCAGAACATTGTTGGTAATGGCACTGCATAGCAAAAAACTAGTTGATCCTTGAAGGCAGACCACGCCTCGAACGGGTGCAGACCTCGTCCATTTTACTAAACGATTCTCACGTTTACAAGCAGTGTCAAAAAACGAATCTGGAGTTGGATCCATGGGTCTTGTCATGGAGCGTAGCAAGTAACGATTTTTGAACTCTTTATCACAGATAACAGTCTTCAGTTTCCTCCAGACGCGACTGCATGCAAACAACGATTGAAGAGGCAGACGTAGCAGAATATCGGATTGGATCTTCTCAGGAAGGGACTCCATTTTCAACTCTTAGTTTTTTTTCTCTTTGGTTTTTCTCTAGTAATATTTTTTTTTGTATCTGTTCAGGACACAACACACAAATGTAAATTTATAGAAAATATCAACCAATAAGCTGTGAGTATGGTCACATAATAAGTTTAGCTTCTGGAGTCTTCTAACGCGTTCATCTTTACGAGTAATATATATTTACATCATCTAATTAATCAAAAGTTATAAAAGAGAAGATAGAATTACATGTATCACACGTAGTTAGCTTTTACAAGTTTTCTTTCCTCGTACATGTTTACTACTTCGATATGCAGAAAGAGTTTTACTAAAATTGCTAGCGAATGAATTTCTATCGCGTTCATCTGTTTTAGAGTAATCCTTCTAGTCATATAAAGTGGTAGAGAGTCACTTTCACATGTAGAAAACACTTACTAAAATTGTTAGTCACTTTCACATGTAAAAAACTTTTGTAAAGGTTTTCACTTTCACATATAGAAAAAAATCATATTAAAATTGTTAGCCAATGAACTAAGAGTAATCAAGAAAGTTGAAAATTGATAACTCTTAGTTTGGTCCATAAGCACATAAATTAAGGTCATAAACTGTTAGAACAAGATTATTCATTAGCATAACAAATTAGATGAACGACAATATAAATGAAAACAAACCCTAAGACTACTATACTACTTTATACTATACTAAAATTTCTTTACAAAACACTATTCACAGTTACTCTGTATACGTAGATGTTTCAAACAATCTCCAAGAGTAATACAAATGGAATTCATGATAATTAGTCTTAAGCAAAAGTTCTAAAGGTATAGGATTAAAGCAGAACATGAGGGCCATTCATAAGTTTGTTTGTTCTCGTTGTTCTAAGGTAAAATCATAATCATAACACATAGTAATAAGTCTGGTCTTTTGGGTTAGATAATCAGAAATTGTCTCCAATATTTTTTTTAATAATTATTAAAACAAAATTACAAAAACAAATGCATATTTTTCAAAAAAGCATTGTAGATTATATTTTTAATAAAAATATTTTTAATATCACTTAGCAAAATAATAACATAAAAGTAAATATATCACTCAAATAAAATTTTTTTTTTTTTTTGCTAAAATTTTAATATTACTTAGGAAAATAATAACATAATAATAAATATATCACTCAAATAAAACAAAAAAAAAAATTTCACAATTTTTTTTTCTTTTTTTGCATACTATAAATTGTTTTTTTTTGCATAGTAAATATATCACTCAAATAAAACAAAAAAGAAAGAATTCTCAAAATTGTTTTTTTTGCAAAATTTAAATAAAAAGCAATCAACATTAAAATTTCAGAATATTCTCGTGTGTCATTAAGAAGAAGAGCCTTTTATCATTTTATTGGTTTGTTTTGGTTTTGTGTCGCTTAGAATTCCCTGGTTAGTACTTTTATTACCATTGAGCATTAACCAGGAGAGGATATCATATCACACCGCCTTGGAGAAGACGAAGAAACAACAAACAACTTCTTCTATAATAAACCCCCCACCCACACAAACGAAGCCTCTGGGTTTTTCGAGGTTCATCTCCCAATATCTCACATACGTTTCCCTAGGCCTCTCTACTCATCTAAAGCTTTCACCTTTACTCTCTCAGACCATGGCTGGAACCGCTTCTTCTTCTTCTGATAGCTTCCTCACTACCTTCCCTCTTCTGGGTATGTTCCATTTTCATTTAAAGATTACTTCTTTTTTTGGTATCATCATAGAACTTTGCCTTAGCTATTGATTGTGAACATCTTTTTTAGCTTGTGTCCGGATATGATAGAGAAATCAAATGTTTTTTTTTTTTATCTCCTTATGGGTTGAGTTTTATCAGTGTTTGTCTTGTTCTGACTCTGCAAATTCTATTTTGAGGTTTTGTTTTATTAGAAATAATGAGTTGGCTTCATGTATTTAATGGTTGCAGAAACAGCAGATTTGTTCAGTGAGTTGTCTTTAGGTTCTGATGGAAGTGAAGTCCCTAGGAACCGTAACAAGGTACTTCCTTGCTCCTGTTTTTGGACTTAATTAAATATATATATAGACTGACTGTGTTTTTGTGGGAAGGGTTCTCTTCAGCAGCAGTATGGACATATACCTCCTTCTGGTGCATTTACTGCTCCATCTCTTCATGGAAGTGAAAGAAGGCCTAACATGAATGTTGGAAACTTGCCAAATGGTGGAGACATGTTTGGTTCATACCCATGGGGTAGTTACATCCCACCAAACCATCATTCCGGTGGCTACCAAGATCAGAGGTTTGGTTATGGACACAGCAACAATTCAAACACCTTTTCACATCTCATGGTATGTTTGGTTCTGTTTCATCATACCGTTTACAGTCTCTCACCTCTCTCTGTGGCTGTAGAATGTAATTGTTTGTTTTTGTTTTAACAGAATCCTCACAGCTCACAAGAAGCGATGCGTTATGACCAATTTGGCTATAATGATCATATGTATGGACTATACGGGAATGTAATAGACTCAGGTCATGCTTACGGAACATTCGGTTATGATTCCTGGAAACTTGGGAGAGGATGGTATCCTGTTGATGGTTATAAGAAGACCAAAAGCTTCAACTACGGTCGTGGTGGCTACAATGAAGAGAAAGCAGATAGGCTTAACGAGCTTTGTAGAGGACCTAGAAGCAGTGATTCAAAAACTCCACAAGGGACTCTTAACGTTCCAGTGGTAGCAGATCTCCAACGCTACAATGGGGAGAGTTTCCCTGAGACATTGGTGAACGCGAAGTTCTTTGTGATTAAGTCATACAGTGAAGACGATGTTCACAACAGTATTAAGTATGGTATGTGGTCAAGCACACCAACTGGTAACAAGAAGTTGAATGCTGCGTATCATGAAGCTCAAGAGAGTTCTCAAGATTGTCCTGTGTATCTTCTCTTCTCGGTTAGTACGAGGAGACTTCAATGAAATGTTCTTGTAGAGTTCGTTGTTGATTGTTTTTTTTTTTTGTCTTTTCAGGTGAATGCAAGTGGACAGTTTGTTGGTGTTGCGGAGATGATAGGACCGGTTGATTTCAACAAGACAATGGAGTATTGGCAGCAAGATAAATGGATTGGTTGCTTCCCTGTGAAGTGGCATATCATCAAAGATGTACCAAACAGTTTAATGAGGCACATAACGATCCCAAATAACGAGAACAAGCCTGTTACTAATAGCAGAGACACTCAAGAGGTTTGTTAAAACTTCACTTAAACCCTTCTTGGACCATGTTTTGAATTGAATGGATTCTTATCAAACGTTATGGCTTTGTTTGTGTGTAGGTGAAACTGGAAGATGGAACTAAAGTCATAAAGATTTTTAAAGAGTATATGAGCAAGACATGTATACTTGATGATTTCAAGTTTTATGAGACAAGACAGAAGATAATTAGGGATAAGAAGATCAAGCAAAAGAAACAGGTTACACATCTTTAAACCTTCAACATCTACCTGAGGTTGTTGGTTCTGATATGTTTTTTTTATATACAGGTCCTTGATGGAGCTACTGTTGAAACGATTCTTTGAAATCAATGGGAGGAATGATGATGACTTTTTAATTAAAGAACAATTTGAATGATGTTTCTTTTTTTTACTTCAGGCTTTGGATATTCTGAGAACCTCTCTTTATATAGGTTGGTTTGCTATGCGTTTTCCTAAACAGAGTAATTTATGTTATGTTCCTTTTATAAGGAAGACTCACATCTGATAAAACAAAACTCATTATTTGTTCTTGTTTCCTTCATAAATCATATCAGAACTTTAATAAAATTCTTGGTTTAGATTATCAATTTTTTTCTTTTAGTAAATCAGAGTAACCAAAATTCAAAATAACGAATAATTGCACTAATATTTGAAAATCTTTAATGTATAAATACTAGTTTTGATTTAGATTTTTTAGTGGGTTACAATGTTTTTTGTAGTCCACCCTAAACTTCCGTATAATCCTAATTTCATCCCTGAAACTAAAGATTATCACATCAACACCCTAAGGTTAAAACGGTAATCTACCCGTAAAGCTTTAAACAAACGACGACGTTTTAACAGTATCCAACCAAACTAACGATTCGGACAAAACAGAACTACTTCAAAACCTCGACAGGTTTCTAGGGCAATCTCAACAAACTATAAAACACAGAGAGAGAAAGAGAGCTTCGTCACTTGGATTCTTTAGTAAAAAAAGAGCTAAACTTTAAATTACAGATCGTAATCAAAAAACACGATGCAGCCCTATGGAATCCAATCTATGCTCAAAGAAGGTTACAGACATCTCTCAGGTCTAGACGAAGCCGTCATCAAAAACATCGAAGCTTGCAAAGAACTCTCCACCATCACACGCACTTCTCTCGGTCCCAACGGTTCGTATAATCATCATTTTTTTTTCATTTGCTGGATCTAAAGTATAGAATCTGATAGATCCTCTTTTGCTTTTTGTTAGGGATGAATAAAATGGTTATAAACCATTTAGATAAACTCTTTGTAACCAACGACGCTGCAACGATTGTTAATGAGCTTGAGATTCAGCACCCTGCTGCGAAGATTCTTGTTTTAGCTGCAAAGGCTCAGCAAGAAGAGATTGGAGATGGAGCTAATCTGACAATCTCTTTTGCTGGTGAGCTTTTGCAGAATGCTGAGGAGCTTATTAGGATGGGGTTGCATCCTAGTGAGATTATTAGTGGTTATAATAAAGCTATTGTTAAGGTTGTTGAGATTCTTGAGGAATTGGTTGAGAGTGGGTCTGAGACGATGGATGTGCGTAGTAAGGAGGAAGTTGTTTTTAGGATGAGAGCTGCTGTTGCGAGTAAGCAGTTTGGTCAAGAGGAGATTATTTGTTCTTTAGTTGCTGATGTGAGTGTTTATGTTACAGTTTTGTTTACTTATATGTTTATGGAAGGTTTTGTTTTTAGCTGATTAGTGTGTTTTTTTTTTTGCAGGCATGTATTCAAGTGTGCCCAAAGAATCCAACGAACTTTAATGTTGATAACGTTCGTGTTGCGAAGCTTCTTGGAGGAGGATTGCATAACTCTTGTATTGTTCGTGGGATGGTTTTGAAAAGTGATGCTGTTGGGAGCATTAAGCGGATGGAGAAGGCTAAGGTGGGATTGTTTTCTTTTGTTTGTGCTTTGTTGTCTATGTTTTTGGCTGATTTGGTTGAATTTGTAGTTTGTGCTTATGTCTTTCATGTTTCCTGTCTTCAGGTTGCTGTGTTTGCTGGGGGCGTTGATACTACTTCAACAGAGACAAAAGGAACTGTCTTGATCCATAGTGCTGAGCAGGTTAGTTTCTTCACCCTGCGTTTTAAATGTGAGAAGGTTAATAATGCTGAGGTTGAAGTGTGGTTGTGGGGTTTAACCATATTATAACACTTTCTTTTGGGTTTTATAGTTAGAAAACTATGCAAAGACAGAGGAAGCTAAAGTGGAGGAGCTGATTAAAGCTGTTGCTGAATCTGGAGCTAAAGTAATTGTTAGTGGAGGATCAGTAGGAGAAATGGCATTGCATTTCTGTGAGCGCTACAAGTATGTGAAAAACCTTATATCTTCTTATTCCTAGTTAGCCTTTTCATTGCTTTCACTGTTGATACCTCATACCTCTTGACATTGTTCTCTTCTAGCTACTTATGATGATAAAGAAGTCTTTTACTGTCATTTTTAATATGAGCTTTCTTTCTTGGCAGGATAATGGTTTTGAAAATCAGCTCAAAGTTTGAACTGAGGCGTTTCTGCAGGACAGCTGGGGCTGTCGCTCATGTAAGTGGTTCTCATTCACATTCTTTATAACTATCTAATGGTGTTCTTGTCTTTAATACTTTATATATTTATTAAACAGTTGAAACTATGCCGTCCAAGCCCTGATGATTTGGGTTACGTTGATTCCATATCTGTTGAGGAAATCGGTGGTGTGACAGTAAGTACTCCTTACTCCTTTGATATCAGTTTCTTTTCTTCTGGTTAGTTATAAGATAAGCAATTCTCGGTCTTCTTTTGATGTATGTAGGTCACTATTGCAAGAAACGAACAAGGTGGTAACTCGATCTCCACAGTGGTTTTACGTGGAAGCACAGATAGTATTTTGGACGACCTTGAAAGAGCTGTTGACGATGGAGTTAACACCTACAAGGTAATCTTTGCTGTGTTAATTATCTTTTTTTCCAAGTTTACATTTCCCTTTGCTCTAAATATTTTGACTTTTGCTATTACTTATACTCTACTCTTTTTTGTCAGGCCATGTCCAGAGACAGCCGTATTGTTCCTGGAGCTGCAGCTACTGAAATAGAACTAGCTCAGAGATTGAAGGAATATGCCAATGCAGAAACAGGGTAATTTCTTAAACTTTGTTAGGATCTCATCTCATGTTTAAGGTATATCATACACAAAACGGCATATGGTTTGGTTGTTGAAAATTGGGATTTTCTTTGATATTTTTCAGGTTGGACAAATATGCTATCACCAAATACGCAGAGAGCTTCGAGTTTGTACCCAAGACCCTTGCCGACAACGCTGGTCTCAATGCGATGGAAATCATTGCCTCTCTATACACGGGACACGGAAGTGGAAACACAAAGCTAGGCATTGACTTGGAGGAAGGTGCTTGTAAAGATGTCTCAGAGACAAAAGTGTGGGATCTTTTTGCAACCAAGTAAGTTTCATACTGTTTTCTCAACCATAAGATCTTTCTATCATAGAAAAATAACTGAAGTAAATTTTTCTGTGACTGTTTCTTAATCTTTAGAACTAAAGCACTAAGTCTATGTGCAGGTTATTTGCTTTGAAGTATGCTTCTGATGCTGCATGCACGGTGCTTCGCGTAGACCAGGTATGCACACCTGATTTAATCTGCATCTATTCTTAATGAATAGAGTAAAAGCCTACTACATACTAATATATGATCTGGTTGTATGTAAAATATGCAGATTATAATGGCGAAACAAGCAGGTGGGCCAAGGAGAGATGCTGCACAAGCAGCCGGTGCAGGCGCAGAGGAAGACTAAGCTGTAGAACAACAAGTGCCTCGTAGTGGCACTCTTATTCTGTAACCATCTTTTTTAATTCTGAAAAATTTTGGTATGTCAGTATGGTATTGTGATTTTGTGGTACACACCAACTTGAGGTTTTGACTTATTGTTTGCAATGTTTGGTTCGTACTGACTTGAAACTTCCCGGTTTAGTTAAATTGGATTATTATTGCAAGAGTTGTTTCTATATTAGTCAATGACATTGGTACAAGTTCTTTTTGAGAGTATTCAAACAAGATCCACACAATGACTAACAGAAAGAACAATATAACACAATATCTGAAGCTACGTAAGTTCTAAAGCTTTCTATGTTCATCCCTGATGCTTCAAGTAGGAACAAGATGAGGCAGCATCATATCATCTTGAAGTTGCATCCACATGACGGAAGCAAGCCCTGCAACTACAACAGAGAAGAAACTCAATCCCCATCTCAACACACTCTTCTTGCTCCTGTCCCTTCTTGAGTCTGTTACAGTCTCTTCTGACTTAACTTTTGACTCAGAATCCAAATCTGACTTTGGTTTCTCACAGATGTCTTCTGTTGGAGTAGTAGTACCAGATCTATCATGTATTGGTGATGATGATGAACTTTCACTGTCCTGTTGTAGCTGCTGTCTGTTCTCTAGTAGTACAGTGAACGCATCTTGTGTGAAACCGTGCCTGTGATGTTCTGACTGTCTCTTCTTCCTGTTTCGTCTTGACCTTCTTGAGTAATTGGTCATCGAGCAAACTGATTCGTTAAACTCAGAGCTTCTGTTCCTTTGATGGAAGTAAACTGACTCCATGTTACCATCTTCAACACCAGAGAACTGAATCTGAAATCAAAGTAGGAGAATAATGAAACTACAATAAACAGAACACACAATTCATCACAAGTAGCTTTTAATGTATGCAGCGTTGCTTACCTGATTTCCATTTCTTGGAGTATAGTCATCACAAGTCACCAAAGGAGAGCCTGACACACCAGTTCTTCCACTGGCTACACCGGAAAACAATACTTCTTCACCTTCTTGATCATTTACATAACTACCGTTATGTGATCTCAGACTTGGTGTAGACTTCACTGATCCATTGCACAATGGATCTGCTTCTTTGATTAATCTACCTGCTGTACTCAAGGTTTCATGAGCAGCCATTCTAACAAAATACATCTCATCATCCACGTGCTTCTCCATCTCTTGAAATATAATCTCTACCTCAGAACAAATACTCTTGGGATTTAGATACTTCATCAGAAAGTTAAGCATCTGCACAGCTAAAAGCCGTTTCTGAGAATCACCCTCAACAACACCCAACTCCAGAATCCTCAAACCAGACTTCACAAACAGCCTTGCATACGCCTCAACAGTAAAAGCATTATGCTTAGCAAGAGCTATAACAAGCGCCAAATGAGACTTAGCTTCACTCGAAGTGGCCTCAAGAGCAACAGCTAAGCTTTGACAAACGCTATTAACCATCTCACCAGAAGCAAAACGCCAGTTATCACAATCCACAAGTGACTTCAAGCAAAGAGCAGACCCCAAAGCAAGATGCTGTTCATGCTGTGAATCTAAAAGAGAATCAGAGAGCGGCTTACAAAGAGAATGAATCACATTCCTCTTCTTATCCTCCGGTGTTGCAGGATCAATTCCATATCTAGCCATAGCAGCAACCGCCTTTGAGCAAGCCTGTTGAACACTTACAGAACCTTCACAAGAACTCAACGTCCTTACGATAACCGGCATGATCATATCAACATGAGGAGCAATTTTAACTCCATGAGCACGTGCTAGGTCTTCAAAGAGAGAAACCGTGTATCCGCCAGAGTCAGAACCAATCTCTTTTGTTTCAGAAACTTGAGAAAGAAACACATGTATCACTTTTGCATCCAAATCTTTCACAATGGTTCTCAAGTTGCTCATTGCAGTCTTGTTAGTATCTGGATCTTTGTCAAGATTAGCCAACTCTTGTCTAAACGCTGAACCGAGATTTCTCCCCATTTTTGTTTCCTGAAAATAAAACCCACAGCAAAGTCAATAAGCAAAATCATAGCCTAAAAGATCTTTGACCTTTTGGTCTTAGTTAAGTATATACACAACTTATAGAGATATATATAAATCATTTGAGTATAAGATATTAGATTCGTTAATCCTAACAACTTAACCGTATCCTCTAATCAGAAACTAAAAAAAAACAATCTTGACCCTTTTCCATAAGAGGATTATAACCAAAACTAATGCACAGTTCGTAAAAATCAAAACTTTTAATCGAATTTACTTAAAGGTTTCATCTTTTAACAATCTCTGTGAACATAGCATAAAATATCATCGAATTCACGAAAAGGGTCTTTTGAATTCGAGTAAAAAACGAAATGGACGAAGAGAACAAGTAACCCTTAAAGACAAAGAACAGAGAGTTTCGAGTGTCTGACAAAAGTAGTAAGGTTTGATGAGTAGCGAAGAACGAAGCGTACCAGTGTCTGTTTAGCGAAGAGTCTGAAAGTCTCTAGATTTCCAAAGAGAGATGGATCTTTCTTTCTTCTCTTACGATCCGACGCGAAGAAAAAACTAGAATAATCAACTTTCTTTTTCTTTTTTGAACTTTGGGAGCGTTTGGTGCGATGGGCGCGGGTTTTAATTATGGTAACTTCCGTAACTTTTGGGTCTTAAGCAAATCTACTCCCTGATTTATCTATTCTTTACTTAAACAGTACCAACATTTCAAAATTATCATTTTGGTCCAGATAAAATTCACCATTTTTTTAAATGGAAAATGCTGGTCAGTTTGCATTAATTTCAGGAAATTCTTAAGATCATTTGATTTGTATTTCCTTATTTTTTCATAATCGTTCCTTTATTTTGGTCTAAATATAATGTATGGTTTCAATTAGGCAACATGATTTTTTGATTATCATTCCAAATGTAATAATCAATTAACAAAACTTCAGTCAATGGGTTAATAGTCAATCATTAATGTTAATGGTTTTGCCTTGAGACATCTCTTTTACCGTTTACTGTTCTTTAGGCTTAATGTTGCTTTGCTAACAATGATTAAATAAGAAAAATAACTATGATTTGTGATTTACAGACAATAATGCATTGTGCAAGCTAGTGTTGTTAAGTCTTGTGGTCATGTTTAGAACAAAAATATCAACATTTTAAAAGTAAAAGTCAATGATACTAAATAACTATGTGAAGATCAGATTTAAATAACAAAAGCTTTTAGTTTTTACAAATAGTTAGATAGCTTAATTTCTGATGATCCTGCTGTAAGACCACTTAGGTTCACATATCTCTCTGGCAAAACAGCTTTGTTTGACTCAAAAAAAACTGAAAAAGACTCAAATCCTGACCTTGCACTCCTGTTTCTTCTTACTTAGGTTTCTTCCCTGAGATCCACAGAAAGATATACAAAAGCTATGAGAGACGGTTAAAAAAAATAGATTACTAAGGTGAAAACACACAGAAGATGGTTAACTACTTGGCTCTTTTAATAGCTTTGTACCAACGACTAACCAATAATCATTAATCAACCATGTGTTAGTAACACAGTGTTACTACTGATCTCTTCCACTAACTAATCACGTTAACAATAAAAGCCAAACTCAAATCAGAACTTTGCTTTTCACAGCTTACCAGGGAGCAGATGAAGTTGCTCTAAACTCAGCCTCGAGATTGTCAAGCTCTACGCCACTATCTCTTGCACATGACTCCATCTCACACACAATTTGGTAAGCCGCATCCCTCTGCTCTTTCATAGCCACTAGCTGCCTCTCCAACTCAAGAATCTTGTGTTCCATCTCACCAAAACCTTCTTTCAGAGCCATTATCTCTCTGTTGAAACCGTTCCGCTCCTCCACTGTCTTCATCTGTCTATTTTTGAGAGCCATCAGCTTGTTGATCCTTGCCAAAGGCGCTGAAACGTTGAAACCATGCTTCTCTAGCTCGGCAAAGGAAGCTTTGAGGCTGTTTAGCTCGCTCATGGGAACGTCAGGCTCCAGATCTTTAAAGCTCTCCAGTAAACTGGAATGTGTGAGCATCATACCGAAGGCAAGCCCTTCACGGAACTGTTTTTTACTTTCCTTAACCAGTGGACTGAAGTGAGGACTTTGTGGTGCTCTCTGGAAGGCTTCTGATGTTTCAAGTATCTTCCAAAATGGTGACTTCTTCGCAAAAGGCAAAACCAGGGTTGTGTCTTTTGCTTGAGGTTCCTCAACTCTAGGAGTAGAGCTAATGTTGTCTTCTTCGCTGCTCTCCTGCATCCCAAAGGAGATGATGATAGTAAGCCACAATTAAAAAAAAAAAAAAAAGAAAACTACTAAGAAAGCAAGAGTGATAGATTTAGCTTTACATCTCTTGTGTTACTCACCGGCTGAACAGTGACTTCTTCAGTTGCTGTCGCAGTTCTGGCCGGGGAAGGGGTTAGAGATGAAACTGATTCAGAGTCTGAAAAACAAGAACAAGAACTTTCATTACATCTGCTGTACTATAATGCTACTGCACGTGTAGTAATAAGAGTTAAGACATACCAGTAGTAGTTTCACTGAGGTCTTGAGTATGCTCAACTTCTCCTCTTTTCCTCTTACGACTCTCATCTAACTTGTTGTGTTCCTCACGCACCTTTGCACACACAAGTGTCAAACAACAAGCTAAGAAGGCTTAGCTAACGGGTATTCTCAGAATTCAACGTTACCTTCGCATTATCGATTACTAACGGTACTTCCGCTCCGTCAGTTGGTATCAGAGCTGCGTTCCTTTGGTTTCTCAATCGAAGGCGATTCTGGATGTCATGGTGAGTATTAGCATCTATCCTATCCTGGACGAAAGTCCTTTTGTTGAGAGAGAAGAGAACCATGAGATCTATCGAGAGATCTATGGTGATCTAATCTATGATATATATGAAGACGATGTTCATCCTATTGACTTTGTTTTCAAAGAGGGTTCCTTTGAAAATTCGCGTGCAAAGTTAGGGCGAAATCATATTGATGAAGATTTGATGCGTGCAAACTTTGTGCAAAAACAAATTTTTAAAGATTCAAGATATAATCAGATCCGTGCAAAAATCGTGCAGTATCAAGTTTTTGGAAAATTTCTTGAGATTCTGAGATGTGCGAAATTCGTGCAGATTTCTGATATTCTTATGCAAAGAACGATATTGAAGATTCGAGGAAGAGTTTTTATTGGAAAACGTTTTGGATCCAAAGATTACGATCAAGATTCGAGGACGAATCTTCTCCAACCCGGAGAGAATGATGTAGATAAATATTTGGGATATTTATTATTTATTTTATTAGCTATTTTAGATAATTATCTTTATTGTTTTAGGGTTTTATGGTTTTCATATATATAGGCTTCTTATGTCTAGAGTTGTATTCAGTTTTTGATGAATTAATAAAAGTTAAGAGATTTCTCTTTATTCCTTGTTTTCGGTAGATCATTGGTGATCTCAACGAATTTAAGAAGACATTGATCTTAGGTATTCTTAGACTAAATAAGATCATTGTGATTATCATAGTTTTCCGGGTATTCTCAGAATCAACGGATAACTATTCATATCTATAAAAGCTTCCGCTACATCAAAAATTATGTTAAATAACAAAAACTTTACCTCTTTATCTCCATTTTCCTCAGAGCTCAGGGACGTTTTAAGAGTATTGACAGCATTTACTTCACCTGTGTTACGCTGAAAACAAAAACAAAACACAACACTCAGTTATACATCAAACAAAAGTTGAGTGCAACCAAGAGAAACTAACCAAGACTGACTCATGTGAAGGCCTTACAGCCTCTTGTTTGAACACAAAAGACTTATTTGGTGCCTTCTTCAAACACACAGTGTACATATCATCACATAGTAAACACGTCACCGTCCCTGGACGCCACCCCGGTTCAAGAAACACTTCAACAGACTCCATCAATCTATATCTTCTTCCAACAGAAACCGGAACCGGAGCGAGCATTATGCTGCTTAAACCAACGGTTCTGTTTGGTTGCGATGATTCACCACTCAAAGGCTTGACAATGAAACTCTTCCTATATCCCAACTCCTTAACAACCACTGATGGTACCCACACATCATCATCATCATCATCCATCACTTTCACTTCCACCATGGTCCCACAACTAAACGTGGACTTCCTACTCAGTACCTTCCAACAACCAAAACAGAGATATTTAGAAATCTAACCACAGAAACACACAAACAAAAAAAAAAAAGCTCGAACCTTGTTTCTTGAGAAACCAAACCACATAAAACACAAAATAAAAACAAAAAAAGGTCGAACCTTGTTTCTTGGTCTGACCCATTCTTGTTTGACCCAGTCAAAGTGTTGTCTGAGCTGTCTTGTCTTGAACCGAAACAGATCTGGTGGTGAATCAAAGTAAACCCAAACTTCCTCAGGGTTTATCTTCTTGACAACAACACCTGTCCACCACCCACCGACGCGGGAAGCCTCAACCACACACCCTTCCTCGAACTCCACTGCCGTGAAGAGGTTTTTCGGCGGAACCGGGCGGAAGAATCTCCGGTAAGTGGTTTTCCGTGTGGTGGAGGAGCCATCGTTGGCTAGCAGAGATACATTCAGCTTCTTGTTTCCGGATTTAGGCAGAGGATCTTCGAGAATGGCTTTGAACCAAGAGCCTTTAAGCCCTTCTCCATCAGAGGAAACTTCGATCTCATCACCTATCTTCATTGTCATTTGATGGAAATTAGAAGATAAAAAACCCTAACTTTCTATTACAAACCCTAGAGTGTAAACAGAGAGTGATAGATGATAACAAAAATAAATGCTGATATTTATTTTTTCCTTTCGTTTTTTTTTGGCGCGATTTAAATTATCACGGAAAAAAATCAAAAATTAACTAATGGGCCTAAAGTGATAGCTGTTGGGCCTGGGCTTAGACAAAATCATGAAGCATTCATGCTAATCGTTAGATTGTGTAAAATTTGGTCTCGAGAGACCTGATTGCTGTTCGTCTTAGGCTTAGTGTTGATTGTTTGCAAATGAATGAGTTAAAGCTGCTACAATGATCTGTGATTTCCAGACAATTGTGTCTTGTGCAAGCTAGTGACAAACCTAGTTAACATTGTATAACAAAATATCAATGGGACTAGATTAACTATGTCAAGAAATGATTAATAACAAACGCATTTTAGTTTACTAAACAGTTAGCTAGCTTCATTTTTGATGATCCTGTTGTAAGAACAATTGGGTTCTCACATGTTTTTGCCACAAAAGTTTGTTTGACTAAAAGAACTGAAAAAAAAATAGATAGTGGACTCTGATCTTGATCTACACTTTCCTTGCACTCTTGTTCCTTCTTGCTTAGGCTTCTCCCCTGAGATCCACACAAAGAAATACTGAAGCTAAGAGAGATGGCTAAAGATAGATTACTAAGCTATAAAACAAAGAAGATGGTTATCAATAAAAGCCCAAAAAAAAAAAAAAATCTCAGAGACTCAGACAAACCTTTAACTAAAATCAGAGAGCTCATCAGAGTTTGCTTTTTACAGCTTACCAGGGAGTAGATGAAGTTGCTTTAAACTCAGACTCAAGATTCTCAAGCACTAAGCCACGATCTCTCGCACATGACTCCATCTCAGATAGATTATGGTATGCCGTTTCAGTCTGCTCTTTCAGAGCCACTTGTCGCCTCTCCAACTCAACAATCTTGTGTTTCAGAGCCATCATCTGTCTCTTTAAACCGTTTTCCTCCTCCATTGCCTTTAATTGTTTATCCTTAAGAGCACACAGCTTGTTAATCCGTGCCATTGGCCCTAAAACATCGAAACCATGTTTCTCTAGCTTGGCGAAGGACACTCTGAAGCTATCTAGTTGGCTAATGGGAACGTCAGGTTCAAGATCTTTAAAGCTCTCCAGCAACTTGGAAAAAGTGAGGATCATACCAAGAGCCTGACCTTCACGGAACACTTCACTTTCCCCAGCCAATGGCCTGAAATGAGGAGTTTGTGGCGGTGCTCTCTTGAAGACTTCCATTGTTTCAAGTTGCTTCCAAAGCGTTGACTCCTTAGCAAATGGCAAAACAACTCTTTTCATATTGTTGTTAACTTCTTCGCTGCTCTCCTGCCATCCCAAAAGGAGATGATAAGTAATAGTGATGACAATGCTGATGCAAAGATAGATGACTCACCGGCTGTACAGAGATTTCTTCAGTTCCAGCCTCTGTTTGATTCAGTGTTGTCGCATTTAGAGATGAAACTGATTCAGTTGCTGAAAAAAACAGTGGAACTGTTTCAAAGAACGTGGCAGAAACAAAGTCTATGACACACTAATTAATGAGAGGGTTTAAGACAATACCAGCAGACTCACTGAGGACTGGATTGTGTTCTACTTCTCCTCTTTTCCTCTTACGACTGTCATCTTCTCTGTTGTGTTCCTCAGGCACCTGTTGCATTGATCCAAGTGTCAAACCCAAAGGGAGAGTTCATGAAGATTAAAAAGTTAAATAATAACACAACCAATTTTACCTCTTTATCTCCATTTTCTCCCAAGCTCACTGACGTTTGAGTATTGGTAGCATTTACTTCACTAGTATTTTGCTGAAAACAGAAACAAAACATAACACTCTTGAGTTGTAAATCAAACATGAGTCACACACACATACACAAAAGTTGTCTAAAACCAGATAATAAAAAACTAACCGAGACCAGTTTGGCTATTGATTCCTCTGAAAGTCTTATAGCATCGTGTTTGACCATAAAAGACTGATCTGTAGCCTTTAAACACACAGTGTACCGTTCATCACAGTGAACACTTGTCACCGTCCCTGGACGCCATCCCGGATCAATAAACACTTCAACAGATTCCATCAATACATAGCTTCTTTCAACAGAAACAGTTGGTGGTGTGAGCCTAATGCTGCTTAAACCAACGGTTCTGTTTGGTTTTGGTTCTTCACCTTCATAATTCCAGCTAATGTATTTCAAAGGCTTGACAACAAAACTCTTCCTATTTACCATCTCCTTAACAATCACTGATGGTACCCACACATCAACAACATCACCATCAGTGACTTTCACTTCCACCATGGTCCCACAACTAAACGTTGACTTCTTACTCAGAAAAACCTTCAATAACCCCCCAAAAAAACATATATTATGAGAAACCAAACCACATAAACAACAACAACAAAAAAAGGTAACAAAAAAAAGGTCGAACCTTGTTTCTTGGTCTGACCCATTCTTGTTTGACCCAGTCAAAGTGTTGTCTGAGCTGTCCTGTCTTGAACTGAAACAGATCTGGCGGTGAATGAAAGTAAACCCAAACTTCCTCATTGTTTATCTTCTTCACAACCACACCAGTCCACCACCCACCTCCCCGAGACGCCTCCACCACACATCCTTCCTCAAACTCCACCGCCGTGAACAGACTTTCCGGCGGAACCGGCCGGAGAAATCTCCGGTAAGTGGTTTTCAGTGTAGTTGAACCATCACCGGCTAGCAAAGACACGTTGAGCTTTTTGTTTCCGAATTTAGGAAGAGGATCTTCGAGAATGGCTTTGAACCATGAGCCTTTGAAGCCTTCTTCATCAGAAGAGACCTCAATCACATCACCTCTCTTCATTGTCGTTGATTGAAAATGAAAAAAAAAAAAACCCTAACTTTTTTTCTCTCCTTGTACGAACCCTAGAACACTGAGTGTAAGTAAACAGAGAGAGTGATAAGAAAATTGATTTTGGTATTTTTCATTTTTGGCGCGATTTAAATTATTACGAAAATAAAAAATTAACTAATGGGCCGGGCCTATGATTATTGGGCCTTTAGAAACGAAAGTTAAATAAAGAGACCGAGGCGAGTTCGTATATTTCATTCTTCGTAAGATATCATCGTTATGGCTGCACAGTCGCAACAGTTGTCGCTTCCTCTCGCCGGCAGAGTCGCTATTGTCACCGGTTCTTCTCGTGGTATCGGTAGAGCGATTGCGATTCACCTCGCTGAACTCGGTGGGAGGATCGTTGTGAACTACACAACTAAATCTGCTGACGCTGAGCGTGTTGCGGCGGAGATCAACGAACTTCCAGCTAACGATGGTATCATTGGGAAGGGACCAAGAGCGATTGTGGTTAAGGCAAATGTTTCCGAGGAAATTCAGGTGAAATCGCTTTTTGATGAGGCGGAGAAGGCGTTTGAGTCGCCGGTTTATATTCTGGTTAACTCGGCGGGAGTTCTCGATCCTAAGTACCCTTCGATTGCAGACACAACGGTTGAAGATTTTGATCGCACTTTCAGGTACAGTGGTGACTGTTCGTTGATTGTACAGTGAGATGATGATCATGTCTGAAATTCGAACCAAATGTGATTCTGTTCTGTCTGTTTTTTAGTTAAAAACATGACTCTTTAGTGTCATTTCTACATTCATTTTTTGAGTTATAGTTTTGTCCTAACGCTAAACAGTGGAAAGTAAACCGGCTTTTTTTTTTTAGTTCTTTAGGTTGGTTATGTCTAAATTCCAACCAAATGTGATGGGTTATATGTGTGTTATTGAATTAGAAAAATGATTCCTTTAGTGTCATTTCAACATGTATTTCGTGATTCAGCCATTTGTTACATATATATATTTGGATCGTTTTCATTAATCCTAATTCATTTATATTTACTAATGTTATTGAGATTGTTCATTATCTTGGTTGATGTAAGTTTTGTCTCATTTCGTGTGCAGTGAGATGATTGTGTCTGAATTTCGAACCAAATGTGATTCTGTTCTGTGTGTTATTGAGTTAGAAACATGATTCCTTTAGTGGCATTTCGACATTCATTTTTGAGTTATAATTTTGTCTTAACGCTAAACAGTGGAAAGTGAGCAGCTTTTATTAGTTCATTGGCTTGGTTATGTGGTCTGAATCGAACCAAATGTGATATATGTTCTGTGTTTTTTTTTTTTTGAGTTAGAAATTTGATTCCTTTAGTGTCGTTTCGACATGCATTTGTTGTTTCAGCCATTGTTACATATCTGTTATTGATCACTCTCCATGAATCCACACTCTATGTACCAATGTTATTTAGATTTGTATGTCTTAATTTCGAATCAAATGAAAACGTGATTCATTTTTTAGTTTATTAGCTTGGTTATGTCTGAATTCGAACCAAATATGATATGTTCTGTGTTTTTTGAGTGAAGAAAAATGATTTTGTGTTTCAGCCATTGTTACATATCTGTTATTGATCACTCTCCATGAATCCTACTACATTCTATGTACCAACGTCATTAAGATTTGTATGTCTTAATTTTGGAATCAAATGAAAACATGATTCATTCTTTGTTTCAATGTATTGAGAGAGATGTGTATGTCTTAATTTCGGATAAAATAAAACATGTCTTGAGTTCTTGAGATGTGTATGTTCTTTCATTTGCTGCTACTTTTCTGTTCTTAATCAGTCTCTGATTGACCTTTTGTTTCTTATGGAATGTGTAGTGTGAATACAAAAGGGGCGTTTCTGTGCAGCAAGGAAGCTGCCAATAGGCTCAAACAAGGAGGCGGTGGTCGAATCATACTCCTCACATCTTCCATGACCCGAGGTTTGAAACCTGGATTCGGTGCCTATGCAGCGTCAAAAGCAGCTGTGGAAACTATGGTCAAGATCCTTGCGAAAGAGCTCAAAGGAACAGGGATCACTGCAAACTGCGTAGCTCCAGGACCCATTGCCACTGAGATGTTCTTTGAAGGAAAGAGCTCGGAGTTGGTGGAGAAGATAGCCGCAGAGTCTCCTTTTGGGCGGGTCGGCGAAGTCAAAGACGTGGTGCCGCTTGTTGGGTTCTTAGCTGGCGATGGTGGTGAATGGATCAATGGTCAGATCATTCCTGTTAATGGTGGTTATGTGTAAAAGGATTGGTCTTTAGTAGCTGTTCTTTTGAGGCTTACTGATGATATCAATATGTTTGCAGATGTGTGGTTCGGTTGTTAAATTATCCAGATGATATAAAAGGATAATAAGGATTGGTATGAGAGAATTATCCAGTTAGAAAGATAACCTAAATGTATGAGAGAATTGGTTCCTGGTTTATAACCCCACCACAACAGAATAACACAACATTACATGTATCAAACCCATCAACTGGTATTAAGGTAATGCACTCCACATTCTTTTATCATCCATTCATCGTCACCGTCGATCCCAAACTCAAAGCCAAGTTCATCTGAAGTCACGCCTTCTTCGAATTCAAAGATGTATAGATGTTCCGTAAAGGCGCGAAGAATGTGGTAACTTGGACTCCACGGGACATCAGCTAGGCTATTCTGTTTGATCCCATAATGTACACGCACCCTTTCTTCTTTAGAAGCTTCAACCTCATCTTTACGAACCAGCAAGATGCAAGTCTTCCATATCATAGATGAAGGTGAAGGCCTCTCGTTCAACTTTATTACGAGGGAACCTCCATTAGCTTGATAATTGAAGTAGTTTGGCATTTCTTTACCGGGTAAGATTGTTACATATTTATTATAAGTCGATGACTTGATGATGACATCTCTTGCTTCTTTATTCAGTTTGAAGCAGTTGGCGAAGTTGAGATTAATCTTTTGATTAAGAAAGGAGCTGTTTAGTCTCTCCAGAGACTCGCAATCATCTGCGTCTAGCTCTGATAAGGAACTTGGAAGCTGTGGGAGTGACAAAAGCTCTTTGCATCCGTTGAGTACAAGACGACGAAGACGAGGACTTCTCTTGATCCAAGGAGGAATCTCTTGTATTTTTGTGTTGGTCATGAACAAACCTGTCATGGTGTCAAGAACATGAGGGAACTCCTTGAGGTTCTCGCTGTATGACAGATGCAATTCATATAGACGAGGCCAAAACCTGATCGATGAAGGCACTTCTTTAATCGCAGTTCCGATGAGACACATAGATTCAATGTTTGTCGAGATCTCAGGAAAACTTTTCATCACGGAGCAATCAGTGATATCAAGTGTCTTCAAAGATTTCAAGTTGATGTTGACAGGAAGAACCTCCAGCTTGCAACATTCTCTCAAATTCAAATCTTTTAGTTTATGGAGGTCTCCAATAGAGGCAGGAAGCTCCACAAGACTTGAACATCTACTAAAATCCAAACGCTGGAGATTAGTGGCGTTTCCAATAGAGGATGGGACTCCCACTAAACTTGAGCAATCGGTAAAATTCAAATCCTCTAAGTTTCTTATGGCATTTCCAATAGAGAAAGGAAGCTCCACCAAACTTGAACAACCATCAAAAGACAGAAACTGGAGATTAGTTGCATTCCCAATAGAGGAAGGGAGTTTTACCAAACTTGAACAGTCACTGAGTTCCAACTTCTTGAGATGAATGGCATTCCCAATAAAAGATGGAAGCTTCACTAAACTTGAACATTCTGTGAGATCTAATTCCTGTAGACTAGTGGCAGTTGAGAGACTAGAAACATCTTTCAAGTTTTTTGAATCACTCAAATTCACCCACTTGAGATTGCGAAGCGGCTGACAAACAAAATCAACAAGACACATTTCTTAGATGCTATTAGTCAACAATAACTGTACAAATCTGATCAATAATAATGATAACAACTTTGTTAAAAACATATGATACTTACTTTAGTTTCTTCCCACAACTTCTCAAGTTTGCTGTCAAGCATGATTAGGTCCACGAGGAGCTCTGGGTTGGGAATACAATCCAAACATGTCATCGGAAAATATCTCCAATCTAGTGATCTAAGTTTACGAGATAAATAGCTTAGAAATGTATTCCCCCCTCTGAATCTTAAGAACTGGAGATTAGACATTCCTTCAAAGGCTCTCTCACTCACATTTATACCGTCTCCATAGAACACTATGCCAATAACACTTCTACTACCCTGAAAACATAGCCAAAAATAAGGTATAGATGATTGCAGTTTATCAAAAAAAACTCAGTTTGTAAAGAGCAAAACTTACCGCTGCATCATCAGCAAGTACCTCATAAGTCTCACTTCCCTCGACAAGAAACTGACGTTGTCCAGGCTCTTTGGACTGTTTACGGACGATACCTCTACCCAGCTGGGCTATCAGACCATGCATAATCACAAGTTCCCTTTCAAAATATATGAGAGACTTGTCAGCTAAGACGTTAAGCCGGTTTCTCACATTAGAAAATTTATTTGAAAGCTGCTCTACAACTCTTTCTATCCTTCCATAGTTGAAAAAGCAGGCTATATGAAGAACCAAATCTTTATTTTCATCAGATAATGCACTATAACTGAACATCAAAATGCTCTCAATTTCTCCATTAAGACACGTCCTTAGCTCTGGTAGTTCACTTTCCCACTCCGGCTGGGACATTCCACGAAAATAAGATCCCATAACCCTTAGTCCCAAAGGGAGATTACCGACGAGTCTTGTAACTTTCGATACAAGCTTCTCAAAACCATCTTTAGGGAACTTTTGACCAAAAGCATACGTACAGAACATCTGAATAGCCTCACAATCTGATGGATAATCAACCTTGTAAATATCTGTGATCCCATGTGCCTTCAGAATCTTCCGATCTTGCGTCGTAATGATAATCCGACTTCCATGACCAAACCACCAAGTTTCTTTGGCCATGGCTTCTAGTTGTACTAACCGATCAACGTCATCAAGAACAACAAGAACTTTCTTGTCATTCAATATTTCTCGTGCAACTCCCAAGTGAGAAATCTTCAGATCCTCCTTCTGGTTAGTTAATTGAGACAGAAACTTTTGCTGCAAATGCAACTTCACATTGTAGTCGTCTGAACAAAGCGGAGGCGTATACATTGCTTTGACATTCATCAGAAAGACACTGTGTTGAAAAGTATGGGATAGTTGATTGAACAGACACCTAGCAATGGTGGTCTTGCCAATCCCAGCCGGCCCCCAAATCCCTATCATCCTCACTTCATCCAAATCTGTGCGTAAAACACACGAAATCTTCTCCATATGAGCTTCCATCCCAATAAATTCTTCGAAATATCTTGGCAGTGTGGAGTTATACAACTTCTTTGCAACATCAATGGCAACATCCTCTATCATTTTTGCCTCATTATCCCTATACAACATATTCAAAATATATCAAGTCAATTAGAATTGTTCAAAATATATTCATATTTATTACAGATAAAAGTATCCCACATAGGGAATTCAATACAGCCGTAAGTAATATATAAAGACTTAGGGCTAATATCCATTTGTGTTTGGAAAGATTATGAACAAGATGACAAACCAGTTCTTTGAATGGTAACCAGCGAGTGTGCCCACTTTTGCCAAAGCTTGGCTCCACTTTCCAATAACCTCATTTCTTTTACCTTTACAAGTTTCTTTGAACACTTTCCCAAACTCACCGGCCTGCTTCTTGACATCAGTTGGATCCACTTCATAGAAAACAGGCATCACTGTTTGACCTAACACTTCTTTACACTTCATAATCTCCACTAACTCATCAAGACACCAAGAGGAAGAAGCGTATCTTTTCGAGAGCAACACAATCGCAATTCTTGATCCTTGGATTGCCTTCTTGAGCTCAGGGCCGATAAACTCTCCTCTAGTGATCTCGTTATCGATGAACATGTTGATTCCTTTGTTCCTACACTCCTTGAGAAGATGACCGAGAAATGATTTACGGACATCTGCTCCGTGGAAGCTCGGGAAGACATCGTGTATGCAGTTACTAGGCAAAGAAGACTTGGGAGATGGTGGAGATGAAGAAGAAGAAACAATTGTTTTGCTTTCTTGAACTTTTGACTTTCCAATGTTTCCATAAACAATAGAAAAGAATTTATTACACAAAAGCGTAAAGATGGTAGTAGCAGCAACTGTCACAAGGAGAAGGTAAAGATCCATTACTACGCTGGAGAGTAGATCACAAAGATTTTACGAGATCTGAAGAGTAATGATTATCAAAGAGGCTTTGTGTATATAATGAGAAAACGTTGACGTTATCGACTGACAACGTTCACACTAGCAATAGAAAAACTAAGTTTAATAATGAAAATAAAGTTAGCTTACACGTTAACGACAGAGAAAGTAGGGGTGGGCACGGATCGGATATCCGGGTTTTTCAAGGTATTTGTGATTTGTTTCGAATGTTACGGATATCTAATTTTGGTATTTGCTTTGCTTCGAAAAAATACGGATATCCGGAAAAACGGATATCCGGAAAATAAATAGATATTTGCGAATATTTACGAATATTTATGGATATCTCATCCATTTTGATTAATACAAATAATCTTAAGATTTTGATACAAATTTGTTTTGCAAAAATATTTGTTTGCACCATATAAAAAATAAAAATTAAAAAACTAGTGAATTTACATATTTTCTAATTTTTTTTAAGTTTAAGTTACAATTATAATAACACAAAATTTAAGAAAAAGAAAATATAATTGTCATAATTTTTTCTTTCTTTTATGTAATACTTTTATATAAGTAATAATGTGAATAGAATTGTTTAAATCATGTGCTAGAATAATAATTATATAATTTTATACATTTAATATCTTAAATATAATCAAGATATACATATATTTATATATTTCTGGATCGGATCGGATATCCGCTTCCCAAAATTTTAATATTTGTGATTTGCTTCGATTTTAACGGATATTGAATTTTAGTATTTGCTTTGATTTGAAAGTTTACGGATATCCAGAATTTTCGGATCGAAACGAATAACGAATCGAATCAAATATAACGGATAAAATGCTCAGCCCTAAGAGAAAGCTACCATGTAGATGTAGGTTCCTGAATATTTCTTCTTCTTTTTTGTTTTGGACATTTCCTTTGATTTGAAAATGCAATTTCCTTATAAATCGATTTGACTAGTCAGGTTTTAAAAGTAGTGTTTTTTTTTTCAAATTGTGATTTGAATAAGCTATGGCTTGGTCAATTTGCATTAACTTCAACTATTCTTACTATCATATGAATTTTTATTTCATTATTTTGAATAACCATATCTTTTATTTTGGTTTAAATACAATGTCTGGTTTCCATTAGGAAACAAGATTTTTGACCATCATTCCAAAAGCAATCAGTTGGCAAAACTTCAGCTAATGGGTTAATGGTCAAATCATTCATGTTACTGCTGGATTATGTAAGAAAATGTTTGATCTTGAGAGACCTCTTGCTGTTCTTTTTAGACTTAATGTTGCTTTAAGTTGCTACATCGAGATTCAATAAGAAAAATAACCATGATTCATGATTTCTAGACCATTGCCTTGTGCAAGTTAGTTTGGTGAATCTTGTGATGCTGTCTTGTCACGTTTATTCTAAACATGGTTAACATTTGAAAACAAAAAGTCAATGATACTAAATAAACTATGTCAAGATAAGACTGATAACAAAAGCTTTTATTTAGTTAACTAATAGTTAGCTATCTTCATTTTTGATGATCCTGGTGTAACCATTTAGGTTCCATTGGATCAAATACAAAAATACTCTGCTTTTTTTGTTTGACTTTTGGCTAACTTGTTACATTTGACATTTATCAGTCTTTTTTAATCGATGATTAAAGAGTTAACCCTGGCATGATTCACTAAATATTTTCTCCTACATGAACCTTCCTTTCCATGAGTTGACCAAACTAAGTCCTTTTCATTTCTTTCTGCAAGTTGCTTTCTGGAAACATTTGTGATCTCTTCCACTCTGATGGCTTCATATTTTCTTAAAAAATGACTTCCTACTCAGAAAAACCTTCAAGAAACCAAAAAAGAAAAAAAAACAGAATCATTGAGAAACCATGTCCTGAAAAATAGTAAGAAACACAAAAAGCTTGAACCCTGTTTCCTGGTCTGACCCTGTGGCGGTAAAAGAAGAAGCTGGAGATGAGTAAATATGGAGAGAGTTTCAAGTTCCTTCCAAAGAGGTGACTTTTCCGCAAAAGGCAAAACCATAAGAACAAACTAAGAGTGACAATGTTGAAGCAAAAGATACTTATCATCATCGCCACTCTGATTACTCACCGGTTGATATTTATCATCTTCTTGGCGCGGTTTTTAATTACCAAAAAAAAAAAGTAAAAATTAGCTAATGGGTCTACGATTGTTGGGCTTGGGCTTAAAAATGAAATTTAAATAAACAGGCGAACTCATTTTCTTCTGCTCTTTCATCGAAATCTCTCTTCGTGGAAATCGTTATGACTTCACCACAACCGTCGCTTCCTCTCGCTGGCAGAGTTGCCATAGTCACCGGTTCTTCTCGTGGTATCGGGAGAGCCATCGCGATCCACCTCGCTGAACTCGGTGCGAAGGTCGTTGTGAACTACACAACTAAATCAGCTGAGGCTGAGCGTGTTGCGGCGGAGATCAACGAACTTCCAGCCACCGGAAAGGGACCAAGAGCGATCGTGGTTCAGGCGGATGTCTCAGAGCCAAGTCAAGTGAAATCGCTGTTCGATGAGGCGGAGAAGGCCTTCGAGTCGCCGGTTCATGTTCTGGTTAACTCGGCGGGAGTCCTCGATGCCAAATACCCTACGATCGCAAACGCAACACTCGAAGATTTTGATCGCACTTTCAGGTTCATTTGATTCCAAAAAAAAAATAATAATTAAAATTCTTTAACTCTGGTGTTGGTGAGATGATGTGTCTGAATTCAAACCAATTGTGATATGTTCTGTCTGTTTTTTTTTAGTTAGAAACATGATTCCTTTTGTTTCAAAAAAAAAAAAAAAAAAAAAAACATGATTCCTTTAGTTTTATTTTAACATGCATCTGGTATTTCAGCCATTTGTTTACATATCTGTGCTTGATCACATTCCATACATTCTCTGTTCAAATGTTATTGCGATCGGTAAGTTGTAATTTAGCAGGAGACGGAGGAACATGCTCCATGTTCTTGAGATGTGATGTTTTTTTAAATCAGTGTCTGTTTGTTTGTTTTGTTTCTTATGGAATGTGTAGTGTGAATACAAAAGGGGCGTTCTTGTGCAGCAAGGAAGCTGCCAATAGGCTCAAACAAGGAGGCGGTGGTCGGATCATACTCCTCACATCTTCCGTAACCCGCAGCTTGAAGCCTGGATATGCTGCCTATGCAGCATCAAAGGCGGCAGTGGAAACAATGGTCAAGATCCTTGCGAAAGAGCTCAAAGGAACAGGGATCACTGCAAATTGCGTTGCTCCAGGACCCATTGCCACTGAGATGTTCTTTGAAGGAAAGAGCTCGGAGTTGGTGGAAAAGACAGCCGCAGAGTCTCCTTTTGGGAGGGTGGGCGAAGTCAAAGACGTGGTGCCGCTTGTTGGGTTCTTGGCTAGCGATGGTGGTGAATGGATCAATGGTCAGATCATTCCTGTTAATGGTGGTTATGTGTAAAAAGATTGGTCTTTAGTATTAGCCTCATTGATGTTCTTTATGTTTGCAGATGTGTGGTTAGGTTGTTGGTTGTCCAGATGATTATATAAAACAATAATAACAAGATAATGATTCTGATTTGATGCTCAGTTAGAAAGATAACCTAAACGTATGAGAGAATTGGTTCCTCGTTTATTCATTCATAGGGTATAAGTAACTGCTCATAACCCAACACAACAGGATGATTGATGATTGATAATCAAACAAACAAAAATATCAACCCATCAACTGGAATTAAGGTAATGCACTCCACATTCTTTTATCATCCATTCGTCACTGTTGAGCAACAACTCGTCACGTTCGATTTCAAACTCAAAGCAAAGCTCGTCTGAAGCCACGTCTGCTTCGAATTCAAAGATGTACAGATGTTCCGTTAAAGGACGAAACAGAACGTGTTCACTGCGATTGCACGGGACATCGAGGCTATTCTGTTTGATCCGATGATGTACATACACCCTTTGAACTTTAGCAGCTTCGACCTCATCTTTACAAACCAGCAAGATGCAAGCCTTACATATCATTGGTGAAGGGAAAGGCCTCTCGTTCAACTTCATTACTAGGGAACCTCCATAAGCTTGATAGTTGAAGTAGTCTGGCATTTCTTTACCCGGTAACATCGTTACATAATTAGTCGATGTCTGGATGATGACATCTCTTGCTTCTTTATTCAGTTTGAAGCAGTTGGCGAAGTTGAGAGCAATCTTTTGATTAAAAAAGGAGAAATCTAGTTTCTCCACAGACTCACAATCTTCTGCGTCTAGCTCTGATAATGAACTTGGAAACTGTTGGAGTGACAAAAGCTCCTTGCATCCCTTGAGTACAAGACGACGAAGACGAGCGCTTCTCTTGATCCAAGGAGAAATCTCTTGTATTTCTGTGTTGCACATGAGCAGATCTGTCAGGATGTCAAGAACGTGAGGGAAGTCCTTGAAGTTCTCGTAGTATGACAGATTCAAGTCATATATACTAGGCCACAACCTGATAGATGAATGCATATATTTGATGTTTGTCGAGATCTCAGGAAAACTTTTTATCAAGGAGCAATCAGTGAGATCAAGTTCACTCAGAGATTTCAAGTTGATGTTGACAGGAAGAACCTCCAGCTTGCAACATTCTTTCAAAATCAAAGAGTATAGTTTATGGAGGTTTCCAACAGAGGCAGGAAGTTCCACAAGACTTGAGCATCTACTAAACTTCAAACGCTTGAGATTAGTGGTGTTTCCAATAGAGGAAGGGACTCCCACTAAACTTGAGCAATCACTTACGTCCAATTCCTCGAGGTTTCTTATATTACCAATGCATGAGGGGAGCTCCACCAACCTTAAACAACTACGAAGAGATAGAAACTCGAGATTAGTTGCATTCCCAATAGAGGAAGGGAGTTCTACCAGACTTGAACATCCAGTGAGATCCAACTTTTCGAGATGAATGGCATTCCCAATAGAAGAAGGGAGCTCTACCAAACTTGAACATTCACGGAGATGCAACTTCTTGAGATGAATGGTATTCCCAATAAAAGATGGAAGCTCCACTAAACTTGAACATCCTGTGAGATCTAATTCCAGTAGACTAGTGGCAGTTGAGAGACAAGAAATATCCTTCAAGTTTTTTGAATCACTCAAATCCACCCACTTGAGATTGCAAAACGGCTGACAGAAAAAAATCACATTTGTTAGATGCTATTAGTCTAGTTTTTTTTCAAGTTACATAACTGTACAAATCTGATCAATAGTAATGATAAGAACATTGTTGAAACCATATGGTATTCTTATGTTACTTACTTTAGTTCCTTCCCACAACTTCTCAAGTTTGCTGTTTGGCATGTTTAGTTCCACGAGGAGCTCTGGGTTGGGAATACAGTGCAAAGATGTCATCGGACAATATCTCCAATCCAGTAATCTAAGTTTACGAGATAAATAGCTTAGTCCACCAAATAGATGAAATGCGACTCCTCCACCATCACTTTCCGGTCTGAGTCTTAAGAACTGGAGATTCGACATTCCTTCAAAGGCTCTCTCACTCACATTTATTTCGTCTCCATAGAACTTTATGCCAATAACACTTCTACTACCCTGAAAACAGAACCAAAAATAAGGTCGATATGACTGTAATTTATAAAACAGACTCAGTTTGTAACGAGCAGTACTGCACTAAAACGCTAATAGAAAGCTTACCGCTGCATCATCAGCAAGTACTTCACGAGTCTCTCTTTTATCGACCAGAAACTGACGTTGTCCAGGCTCTGAGGACTGTTTGCGGACAATATCTGTACCCAGCTGGATTAGCAGATCATGCATACTCACACGTTCACTTTCCAAAGATATGAGAGACTTCTCAGCTAAGACTTTAAGCCGCTGCCTCACATCGGAAAATCTCTTTGAAAGATGCTCCACCACTTTCTCTATACTTTCAAGGTGGAAAATGCAGGATATATGAAGAAACAAGTCTTTATTTTCATGAGATAATGCGTTATAACCAAACATCAAAATGCTCTCAATTTCACCATCAAGGCACATCCTTAGCTCTGGTAGTGCATTTTCCCACTCCTCCTGTGACATTCCACGAAAATAAGATCCCATAACCCTTAGTCCCAAAGGGAGGTAACCAGCAAGAACTGTAACTTCCCATACAAGCTTCTCAAAACCATCTTCAGGGGACTTTTGACGAAAAGCATACATACAAAACATTTGAATAGCCTCAGAAGCTGATGGAAAATCAACCTTGTAAATATGACTGATCCCATGTGCCTTCAGAATCTTTCGATCTTGCGTCGTAATGATAATACGACTTCCATGACCAAACCACCAAGTTTCTTGGGCCATGGCTTCTAGTTGTACTAACCGATCAACGTCATCAAGAACAACAAGAACTTTCTTGTCTTTCAGTCTTTCTTCTGCAACTCCTAAGTGAGAAATCTTGAGATCCTCATTCTGGTCAATTAGTTGAGACAAAAGCTTTTGCTGCAAATGCAACTTCACATTGTAGTCGTCTGAACAAACCGGTGGTGTATACATTGCTTTGACATTCTTCATAAAGACACGGAATTGGAAAGTATGGGATAGTTTATTGAACAAACACCTAGCTATGGTGGTCTTGCCAATCCCAGCCGGCCCCCAAATCCCTATCATCCTCACTTCATCCAAATCTGCGCGTAAAACCCTAGAAAGCTTCTCCATATGAGCTTCCATTCCAATGAAGTCGTCGAAATCTCTTGACGGCGTGGAGTTTAACAACTTGTTTGCAACGTCAGTGGCAACATCTTCAATCATTTTTGCCTCATTATCCCTTTATACAACATATTCAAAATAAATATATCAAAGTCAGTTTAAATTGTTCAAAGACATTCATATATAGTTTGGAAAGATTATGAACGAAGAGGACGAACCAGTTCTTTGAATGGTAACCAGCGAGTGTGGCCACTTTTGCTAGAGCTTCACTCCATTTTCCAATAACCTCATTTCTTTTACCATTACAAGTTTCTTTAAAGACTTTCCTAAACTCACCGGCCTGCATCTTGACATCACTTGGATCCACTTCATAGAAAACGGGCATCACTGTCTGACCTAACTCTTCGTTACACTTCATAATCTCCACTAACTCGTCAAGACACCAAGAGGAAGAAGCGTATCTTTCCGAGAGCAACACAATCGCAATTTTTGATTCTTGGATTGCCTTCTTGAGCTCAGGGCCGATATACTCTCCTCTAGTGATCTCGTTATCAATGAACAGGTTGATTCCTTTGCTCCCAAACTCCTTGCGAAAATGACTGAGAAAGGATTTACGGACATCAGCTCCGTGAAAGCTCGGGAAGACATCGTGTATAGGCAAAGACGACTTGGAAGATGGTGGAGATGAAGAAGAAGAAGGAGAAGAAGCAGTTATTCTGTTATCTTGGACTCTGAACTTTCCATTAACAAAAGAAAATATTCTACTACACAAAAGCGTAAATATGGTAGCAGCAACTGTCACAAGGAGAAGGTAAAGATCCATTAATACCCTGGAGAGAAGATCTATAGATCACAGAGATTTTACGAGATAGAGTGTAATGATTTACAAAGAGGTTTTGCGTATCTAATGAGATAACGTTGACGTTATTGACTAACAATGTTCAAACTAGCAAGAGAGAAATGAAGTTTATCTTTTCGTAGAGAATACGTAGAAGTGTAGAACCACAGAAAAAGTGTAGAACCATTCTTGCATGTTTATAAACCCAAGTTCTTGGATATTTCCTTTGATTTGAAAAATGAGAATTCCTTGTTAAATCGATTTGACCAGTCCGGTTTAAAATTAGTTTTTTTTTTAAAAAAGAAAACTAGGTGATGTGCCCGCATATGCGGGCATAATTTTCTTACGAATATTTATTATTTTTTATTAATTCTAAAATAATATTATAAATTATTTTTTATAATTTTAAAAAACCTAAATCAAACATTAAAATACTTTTATATGAATTTTCATCAAAATCTATATGCTTGTTATAGTGTTGAGAAACATCCACATAACAAAATATTTTTGAAAATATATTTATATTTTTTCTTAATATTTAATTTTAAATTGTTTTATAACATACATTTTTATTTTTCATAATAAAAAAAATATTTCCAGATAACTCTATAATATCTATAAGATATCTTATGTTTTAAATATGCATGAATGTGGATAACTATACTATTAATTTATAATAAATTAACTAATATAATAACATATAAATTTCTATCACTAACATAAAATTCGTTTTTAACTAATTTATATACAAATATATAAATTTTATTAAAGGTACATTAACTTGAACTGTTTCAATTTTTAATACCTAATATTTAATTATATAATTAAATGTATCTTTATACAAATTTTTTTGTTTGATTAATATTTATAATAAAATAATATTACTGTCAAAATCCAAAATCAATTATATATAAAATTAAGATATATAAAGCATTATCATGTTGTTACAATATTATATTCAGATAATAATAACATATATAAGAATTATCTTATTTTTGATTTTTTATAAACTTATTATATTAATTATTCTTTATTACCTAAGATAATAACATACTTATCTAATTTTATTTTTTAAATTTCGTTTTTAATCATAAAATTAGTTATATATAAAAATTTCATTAAGGATAAAATAGATATTAACGCTCTAACTTTTAACGTGAGAGCTCCGTTGCGAAAAATCACTTCGCAAATAATAGTATAGATTGTGACTTGAAGAAACTATGGTTTGGTCAATCTGCATTAACTTCAGAAAATTCTTATTATCATATGATTTGTTATTTTATTATTTTTCATAAGCATTTCTTTTATTTTGGTTTAAATACAATGTCTGGTTTCAGTTAGGCAACAAGAAATTTTTTGACTATTATTCCAAATGCAATCAATTGGCAAAACTTCAGCGACTAGGTCAATGGTCAAATCATTCATGCTAATGGTAGATTAGCGTCTTCGAGAATGACTTTGAATCAAGAGCCTTTGAAACCTTCTTCATCAGAGGAGACTTCAATCTCATCATCTCTCTTCATTGCCTTTGGTATCGATCGTATTATGATGATGTGGTTTACACATTTAGATAGTGGTTTAGTTAGAACCGGCTTGTACCGGATAGTTTATGGTTTACACATTTAGATAGTTGTTTAGTTATGATTGTTTGTATGTATATAGTGTCAATACGAAAGGAGATTTCTTGAGCAGCAAGGAAGCTACCAACATGCTCAAACAAGGAGGTGGTGGTCGGATCATACTCCTTACATCTTCCATGAGACCCAAGGTTTGAAATCTGGATTCGGCGCCTATGCAGCATCAAAATCAGCAGTGGAAACAATGGTCAATATTCTTGCGAAAGAGCTCAAAGGAACAGGAATCACCGCAAACTGTGTAGCTCCAGGACCCATCGCCACTGAGATGTTCTTTGAAGGAAAGATCTCGGAGTTGATGGAGAAGATAGCCGCATAGAATCCTTTTGGGAGAGTTGGTGAAGTCAAAGAAGTGGTGCCGCTTGTTGGGTTCTTTGGGCTGTTTTCCTATGGACCGTTTCCCACCCACATCTCGAGAGAGGCTATTAAAGTCCTACATCGATAAAAGATGTGATCTTTGGGCAATATATATATGTATGGGCAATCCTCCACTCTTGAGCTAGCTTTTGGGTGTGAGTTAGGCCCATCACTAATAGTTAATGGTGGATATGTGTAAAAGGATTGGTCTTTAGTAGTAGCCTCATTGATGTTCTTTTGAGGATTAATGATGATATGTTTGCAGATGATTAGATAACAATAATAACCAGATAGTGATTCTGATTTGATGCTTAGAAAGATAACCTAAATGTATGAGAGAATTGGTTCCTTGTTTATTCATTCATAGGCTACAAGTAACTGCTCATAACCTCACCACAACAAGGATGATTGATAATCATTCACAAAAAAAAAACACAACATTACATTTATCAAAACATCAACTGGTATTAAACGTAATGCACTCCACATTGTTTTATCATCCACTCGTCACTGTCAACCTCAAACTCAAAGCAAAGTTCATCTGAAGTCACGTCTGCTTCGAACTCAAAGATGTATAGATGTTCCGTAAAAGCGCGAAGAGTGTGGTAACTTGGAATGCACGGGACATCGAGGCTATTCTGTTTGATCCCATGATGTACATGCACCGTTTCCCCTTTACCAACTTCGACCTTATCTTCACTAACCAGCAAGATGCAAGCCTTACATATCATTGATGAAGGTGAAGGCCTCTCGTTCAACTTTATTATTAGGGAACCTCCATTAACTTGATAATTGAAGTAGTTTGGCATTTCTTTACCGGGTAAGATCGTAACTTCATTAGTCGATGTCTTGATGATAATGTCTCTTGCTTCTTTGTTTAGTTTGAAGCAGTTGGCGAAGTTGAGATCAATCTTTTGATTAAGAAAGGAGCAGTCTATTCTCTCCAGAGATTCACAGTTTTCTGCATCTATCACTGATAAGGAACTTGGAAGCTGTGGGATTGATAAACTGCATAAACAAAAGAAAAGATTCTACTACACAAAAGCGTAGCAACTATCACAAGGAGAAGGTGAAGATCCATTACTACGCTGGAGAGTAGATCTTTAGATCACAGCGATTTTACGAGATCTAGAGAGTAATGATTTTCAAAGAGGCTTTGTGTATATCTAAAGAGAAAACGTTGACGATATTGACTGAAAATGTTAACACTAGCAAGAGAGAAAACTAAAGCTTATTGGAAAAGCTATCATGTAGGTTCCACCATTCTTGTAAGTTTTATAAACAGAAGTTCTTGGATATTTCCTTTGATTTGCATATGAAATTTCCCTGTTAAATTTGATCAGTCCGGTTCAAAACTAACTCTCAAAACTATTGCTTTGTTCATCTTAATAAATATAAAGTCCCCACATATATTCAAATAACAACAAATTCGTCGACATCCCATTCTTTGTTTTTCTAAAATATCTAATTAACTTTTTTTGTCGACATCCATTTCGTTTTTTTTTCCAAAAACCCAAATATTATTAACTCATTTAGATTGCGACTGGTTATACTTATATCTAAAAACTAACCAATCAGGTAAAATTAAAGCTTGTGATGGTAAACTAAAATAAAAGATAACAAAGAGTAAATTAAAAAAAAAATGTAAAAGAGAAAATAAATGGAACTTCTTGTATTTATTGAGTTAACACATTGAAAAATAAAACATGATTTTCGATCGGACAAATATGAGTCACATAAACATGATTCGTGATTGTGATTTGTGATTGGAGTCTAACTTGGTTGGAATGTATAATTATAACTTTTATACATCTCAATATCTCATCAACTTTTCAAATCAGAAAACTTAAATTATCCAGATAAAATTTATCTTTATACTATTAATATTCTTGTAATCACCACCCAAATCAAAGTCTATGGATACTGGATAGACATTGGTTGATAAACACACAGATGACAGAATCTAACATTGTTGTGGAATATCTCAAGTGCAACCTTCAAGCATCTTTATATAATTTGTTTTAAAAATACATCAAAGTAGGAGGAGGAATAATCAACGCAAGCTCTTGTATCCATAAGTCTTATTCAAAAAGCATGAATGAGAGTATTTTGGATATTAAATACAATAGAAAACACAATAAAAATTCTCATTTTCATTACACACACCAACCATATTTTTTTTCATATAAACAGTAGCCTCTTCTTTTTACCCTTCAAACCAACAAACCCAAAAACATGAGTCAACACAACATCCTCGAAGCTCTTAACGTCCGGGTCGTGGGCACAGGCGACCGGATCCTAGTCCTAGCCCACGGGTTCGGTACAGACCAGTCAGCATGGCACTTAATCCTCCCTTACTTCACTCCCACGTATAGAGTCGTCCTCTACGACCTAGTCTGCGCGGGCAGTGTCAACCCGGACTACTTCAACTTCAACCGATACACAACCCTCGACCCTTACGTCGACGACCTCCTCAACATCATCGACTCTCTCGGCATCCAAAACTGCGCCTACGTAGGCCACTCCGTCTCGGCCATGATCGGCATCATCGCTTCCATCCGCCGCCCGGAGCTTTTCTCGAAGCTTATCCTCATCGGAGCTTCTCCTAGGTTCCTCAACGACGAGGATTACCACGGAGGGTTCGAGGAAGGGGAGATAGAGAAAGTGTTCTCAGCTATGGAAGCGAACTACGAGGCTTGGGTTCAAGGCTTCGCGCCTTTAGCTGTTGGAGCTGATGTTCCTGCTGCGGTTAGAGAGTTTAGCCGGACGCTGTTTAATATGCGTCCGGATATCTCTCTGTTTGTGTCGAGGACGGTGTTTAATAGTGATCTTAGAGGTGTTCTTGGGTTAGTGAAGGTGCCTTGTTGTGTTATTCAGACGGCGAAAGATGTTTCGGTTCCTGCTTCGGTGGCGGAGTATCTAAGGGAGAATCTTGGTGGTGATACGAAGGTGGAGACGCTTAAGACTGAAGGGCATTTGCCGCATCTTAGTGCTCCGGCGCAGCTTGCTCAGTTTCTCCGGCGTGCACTTCCTCGGTGACTTGTTTTTTTAGTTTGCTTTTACTTTTTCTTTTTAGAAGAAAAAAATATGATTGGAGGAATATGGGACTTTTGGGTTTTGTGGGGTTCACGTGGGTAACGAAAAGACACTATTTGTGGAGGAACGTTCACATGTGGAGATAAGATTGTTCACTTGTTACGTGACAAACGCGTTCTTACTTTAATTTTGTTTGCTTTGAGTATGACTAAGTACAATATCGCACTGAAATTCGTTTTATAAAAATAAATAGAAATTTATTATAAAAGTACTGTACAACTTATATTTTTATAAAGAGAGATTGGGCGTAATATACCCATAAGAGGCCCATATTGGCCAAATGCCCTTTGGTTGAGGAAAGCGATTTTCGTCTATCATTTTGGGCTGGTGAGGACGATTTTGCCCCTCCTTTCTCACTAACGAAAATCCCTAAAAATCGGCGTAGCAGAGACGTGTGGCAGAGCAAAAAGTTGACGAGATTTGGTGGTTGCG